CAAACAGTACAAAACAAACAAAAACAAGGGAGAAAACAAACACAAACGGGACCAAACAAACAAAAACAGGAAAGAAAACAAACACAAACAGGACAAAACAAACAAAAAGAACACAAACAAGTAATAAAACAAACTAAACAAACACAAACAAGACAAATACAAATATAAATAAGACAGAAAACACACACAGAAGGCCAATCAAACACAGACTGTGTCCCTAAAGTGGAAACACAAACTCTGAAAGACTCAGATGGAGCTCGTTCTGATTCCGGTTCTGGAGTTTTTAAGAGTCCAGTCATCACTGATTCTGACAAATCCGGGACTTCGTTGGTACTTCAGAACTGTTCTCATTCATCTGGCGGGGTTTTCCGATTTAAAATGCTGAATATTTCTGTGCTGGGGCTAAAATCCGACAGGACCGGAGAACAGGGAGCAGGTTTTTTCTACCTGGCGCGCAGACGCAGCTCATGTCGGTGGGTCCTGAGTTCCGCTGGATCCGGATCAGTGCGCCTCGGAACCGGGACTAAGTGCGCGCGGCACCGGGCTGCAGCTGCTCTCCGTCTGACTCTGAGCGCTACGCGGAAGTTGCTTTTGCCTTTTCCAGCACAGCAAGCAGGCTCCACGTCACGTGTTCCACCTCAGACATCCATCACACCGCGAAACTCCAGCCGCGAGCGTTCCGCGGATGTTTCTGTTGAGACGGGCCCTGAGAGCCGGTCCAGGCACGGGCCAGAGTCCCTCCCCAGATAAGTGCAGCTTTGATGATATTAATTCACTCTAAACTGGTGAAAAACATCCACAAATCAGCTCTAAAACTTCATTTTGGTCCATTCATTCTCTCTAAACTGGTGAAAAACCAGGGCCGTGTCTAGGCAGGGGCCAGAGGAGGCTTGGCCCCCCTCAAACTAAATCCCTCAAAACTGATTATTAAATGTCCATGGCGATGCCATCTCCTCCAAACCGGGCCGGAACCGGGCGGCACCATGAGCAGCAGACAGCAAATCAGAGCGTTGCCACAGCAGTCTGCAGAGGAGCTCTGCTGACTTCCTCTGAGATTATGATGAGATTCTGATCTCTGTTTGCAGCAACACCAGGAGAAGCTCTGGTTCTGCTGCTGGTTCTGGTTTTTCTGCTGGTTAGGGTTTATCTGCAGGTTCTGGTTTATCAGCAGGTTCTGGTTTATCTGCTGATTCTGATTCTGTTACAGGTCCTGGTTCTTGTCCTGCTGTAGGTTCTAGTTTATCTGCTGGTTCTGGTCCTGGTTTATCAGCAGATTCTGGTTTATCTGCTGGTTCTGGTCCTGGTTTATCAGCAGGTTCTGGTTTATCTGCTGGTTCTGGTCCTGGTTCTGCTGCTGGGCGCCCAGAGCTTGGGATCACGTAGCCCTAAACTCAGCAGCTCAAACCTCTAAACGCGTGTCGTTTCCCCCTGAGGGCTGAAATCCAGCCCAGCCGGGAGAGTCAGCTTCTCTTTGCTTCCTCCAGGAATGTCTGATTCACAGAATTTTGCAGAAAAGCCTCAAATGAAAGCATTAAGCTCGAGTCATTCAGTCTTCAAGTGGGGCCTTTCTGAGGAATAACCAGTCTGAGCCCTGCACGTGCACAGCAGCGTGCATAAAAAAGGCCACAGAGTCAGATCATTTTCTGGGCTTTACTAAACAAGAGAAACCAGCTTCTGCTCAGCTCCTCCACAGGAAACCTGCAACTGATCTGTGTGGAAGATTTTATCTTGTGTCATTCTTTATTTTTCAGCCAGCAAAGCAGGGCTACAGCAAGGAAACAAACAAGTAAATTTATATTATTTGGTACCCAGTGGGAGAGGAGGAAAAAACAAAAAGGAAACCAGACACCGACAGACAAAAGGCACAAAGCAGGAGATTAATGTTGCACCTCTACAACATCTGGCCGTGCAGACTTTCCATATTTAACCCATTTTCCCCAATGAACAGAGAAGGGGATGCTTCCATTTTGTAGAACTCATTTACAACATCCATCCAGTCAAAAACTGTCGGGACTCTGGAAGAAGCCAACGTCTGGTAAAAGCTTTTTGCAAGCCGAGGAAAATAAATACTTGTTATGAATAGATCAAGTACTGATCCACCTCTATGGAAACAACAGGTCCAAAAAAAAAAACAGAGACAAAACCAGCAAAGGCCTTTTAACACTAAATATAATCACACATTACTTTCTTTCGAGAAGGGTTTTATTTATGGACTTTCCCAAAATACATGCCAGTGGCCCCTGAACGCCACACAGCCTCCTGTTTGGAGGATATTGAAGCTTTTTGCTGTAATACTGGGCTGCAGCTCTGTGTTTAACTCTGATCTGAATGAGCTGGAGGGGAAAGCCGACATCAAGCCACATCTGGGGCGTGACCAGGACCTTTCCCTTTTCTCTCATTAGGCCTCCGACAGCTTTCCTTGAGTGTGCTGTGAAGCCGCTGAGCACCGGAGGAGCCGACCCCTCCGGGCCTCCACCTTGAGCACAAACTGTTCGCTCTCTCTCTGCTCGGATGCCATCCTGTGGCATGACTCACGTTCTGGAATAATATGCAAATCCTGTGGCTGCGTCATGTGAAAGGGCACCACAGGTCGCATTTCACACAAGTCAAGACACGACGTGCTCCTCAGAAATGTTCCAGAGAGCTGGAGGCCTTCACTCCCCCTGCTGGACTCACCAGGAAACGCTGAGCAAAAAGAGCCCAGATCCACCAACAAATCTGGCACCTAACGTCACAAAACTGTGCCTGTTTGGTTTCAATTAGGGTTTAACAAAAAGTGAAAAAAATCTAAATAATATGAATACCTTTGGGATGTAAGGACAGAATAAAGCTCCCAAACATCACAATGTGTGGGGCAAGATGCTGCTGGCAGTTCTTCTTTGTTTGACATAAATAGAATAAAAAAAAAGTAAATTCTGGAGCCTGTCTCTGTTGTCATTGGATGGGAGGCGGGAACAACCTGGATAGGTCAGACCATCATAGAGATGAATGAGACAGAAAACAGCTCACACTGACTCTAAGGTCCAGTTTGTTGTCTGTGAATTGACATTTGGAGCTTAAATAAAATTTAAGATGTTGTCATTGACACAGAAATTATGTGAGCAGAGCAGCAGTAACAATATCAGGGGTCTCAAACTCCTCTCTGGCTGCTGTACTGCAGGTTTTAGTCACTTCCTGGTCCAAAACTCCTGATTCCAGGCCTCAAAGTCTCCTGCCTTGAGTCAGGAACGAGCCCAGGGAGGCTCCCTGCTTTTTGTGTGGGTTTAATAGATGATTAAACCCCAAATGTCAGCTCTGAGCTTACGTAAATGAGGTGAAAAACTAAAAGAGCGTCGGGAGCGGTGTGTAGCGTCAAACTACACTACCCATAAGGCAAAGCGGCTTCGCGCAGCCTCAGTTCGGTTGTTGTTGTTTAACCTATGCTAGGGCTGCGCGGAGGCGCTCCACGGCGTCAGAAATCCGTCAAACCGTGATGTGGCGCTGCCCAGCGGGACTTCAGCCCACCCCGACCCGCTCCCACCGGCTACCGGCCCTCCATGCTGCCGTCCCGCGGCCTGAGGACCGACTGTGAGGCCGCCGCGGCTCCGTTTGCCCCCCCCCCGCTAGCTTAAAGCAGCTGACAGGCTGCGATGTGTTAGCCGACCGGACGTCTGACCCGCTGCCCG